TTTCCTAACACAACAACATCCTGCACGCAAAAATTCACCTTTTATGTTTGAGGTACTAAATATTACCTTTTTATTCTAGGAAAAATAATTAAAATAGTTTTAAATTTTAAATCTTAACCAAAAAATATCTTAACAACTTTATTTCATAGTTCCGACAAAATCCAAATCAAATCAGCCTAATAAAACTGGCACAAAGTAACCTATTTAGTTTCTAATTTTGCCCCTAACGGCAATCCTTGGCCGTTTAATCTCTCTCTTTCCTTTTCTCTCTCTATCCGGTTTTCGTTTTAAAAAATTTGCATTCTGTGGTTTCGTTTCTGTTTTTAATTTGTGTTTTTGAATTTCTCTAGTTTATTTGATTTTTGAAATTTGGTATGGAATTAGACCAAAAACAAAATCAAAATCCACTCCAATGCTAATACACAATCATTTGCATTTGTGGTTTTGATATAAAGATTTTAGAAGTAAGCGGCATGTGTGTGTCTATATATATATCTTATGAAATAGTTATGTGTACTTGTTGAATTTATATGATTTTTTGAATTAGTTAAGATTCTCGGGTTCTCTGTTTGTAGAAAGAGTTCTCTTCTTCTTTTTTCCTTCTTTGCCCTCTTTTTCTAGAGTAACTGAGCTGTAAGAAAATGACTTGTAGACTTATCATTTGGGAAGTTTTCCGAAAAGGGTCAGGTGAAGAATTGAGAGAAAACGAATAGCATATTTGATACTTTACTTGAATTCAAGTTTTTAAACTAAAAAACAATTTTGAAGTTTTAGGCCTTAAAAATTTGTTTGGTATGATTATTTTCAAAAACTGAATTCAAGACTAACTAAAACATATAGTCTATTATCTAAAAACACAAAAAGTAAGTTTTTAGAGTTTTTAAACTTAAACTCACTCCTTTCTTTTCTCTCCCTCCGCCCCCCTCATTCCAAATCCATCTCTCTTCTTCTTCTTTGTCTCTCCCCCTTCTCTTTTTCCTTTTTTTTACCATTTCCATCCCTCCTCCAATCCGTTTTTTTCGTTCTCTCGGTTCTTTCTCTTACTCCTTTTCCTCTCTATCTCCTTCAATCCTCTCACTTTTTTCTCTTTCCTCCAATCATCTCTTACTTTCTTTCCTCCTCTCTCCTCTTTCTCTCTCGAACCCCTCTTTTTGGATCTTTTTGTCCAATTTAAGTTATAAACTTTAAAATTTTTAAATTGGATATCAAACAAGTTTTTGAGTCTTAAAGAAAATTCTTTTCAAGAAAAATTCTTAAGAAATGTTTTGAGAAATTATAAAAAATATCAAATAGGATACCAAACAAGCCCGAAGATTTTCGAGTTGTTTTCTGAAGCTTTTTGATAAACTGTAACTTACTCCTTTTAAACGATATAACCCCTCGTTGTAATACCTGTATAGGTTCCAGGAAATCATACTACATATAAGTATGAAATCAAATGTAAATCAAATGTAAATCCAAGAATATTCCAAATCACTACATATCAGCAACAACAATATAAATCAAGTGCTCATCAATCTATGGTAACCCACGAGTCAGAGTTGCCTAACGCAACATGTACGACTCATAAATCAATCCATGATAACACATGAGTTGGAGTTGCCTAATGCAACCTGTACGACTCATAAATCAATCCATGATAACACATGAGTCGAAGTTGCCTAATGCGACATGTACGACTCATAGGTAACATGTACAACAGTGTCGGAGTTGCCTATCATTGCAACATGTACAACAGGGTCGGAGTTGCCTATCATTGCAACATGTACGACAGTGTCGGAGCTGACTATTATTGCAACTTGTACGACTGTGTCGAAGTTGCCTATCATTGCAACATGTACGACAGTGTCGGAGCTGCCTATTATTGCAACATGTACGACAATGTCGGAGTTGCCTATCATTGCAACTTGTACGACAGTGTCGAAGTTGCCTATCATTGCAACTTGTACGACAATGTCGGAGTTGCCCAAAACACTAATATAGTCATGCCCTAACTCAATCATTTCAAATAATACTATAAACTCACCTGAACTTACCTGTACGTCCCGCGTTCACCTTAGCACTTCAAAGCATTCACAACAATTATATGTAGGTAATATGCATATGGTTATACCATAATGCAATCTAAAACTCAACCATATCATAGTATTTTAGAATATACAAATATATATATGACATGGCATAAAATGCATAAATCAATTTAAAAGCATTTTGTGGAACTATCAATGATATACATATGATAAAAGGAAAAGACCCACTCACTTGAGGTCCGCAGTACGACTCCCTAGCACGAATATCGAGACGTCACGAACAATCCTCACCTAGAACAATTATTCAGTCACGTCTTAGAACTCTTATCAATAGGACACATACCTTATATAAAACACATCCCAATGACGTTCTAGAAGGATTTGAGACTCATTGACCAAAAGTCAACCGTCGATCAAAGATCAACAGTAGGGTCTACAACCCTACGTAACTCAATCCGAAAGATCCGCACCACGGATTTCCAATCCGTAACCTTCAAAGATCCACATTTTACTTCTAAAACATCATACTAAAGTTTCATTACGATCGAACGGCTGGATCTCCGCCAATTGTCAATTCAAGTGACGGTCAACATTTTATTTTATGTAAAGATCCGTACATCAGATTCCCAATCTGTAAGTTTCTAATATCATCAAATATTACATACTATAATGTATTAAATTTTGGTGACGATCCAACGGTCGGATCGTCAATTCACATAATGTTCAAGTAGCGATCTTTATCAAAACTATGCTCAAACGATGAGATTTCATCAATTGGACTTCACCTATGGAATTGGGGTGCCAAACTTAGCTTAGAAAGGTCAGGGGGTGACTCGGCTCACACGCCGCCGCACACGGCGATCGGTCGCCCCGATTCGCCAGAAAATTCAACTATCTCCAAAGATTCTCAAATTTTACATAAATGAAGATCTCAAAGGGTATGGCAAATTTTATACCTGTGACCAAGTCCAATTTGGCCAGGAAAGGCTCTAATTTCACTTAAACCCACCGAAACCCTAAAATTGATGAACTTCGATTATCCTTCCTCGGTGTTGCAACGTCTCTATCACTGGTTAGGTCTTGTTCCTAGGTCCAAGGGAAGTTGATTAAGGGTAGTTTTAGGTGATGGAACTCGTCGGAATTGAGGAATTACCATCGAGCACCTCCGGTGCTCCGATGAAATTCCTCTCGGGTTAGGACCTAAAAACCCTTAAATTTGGATGGGGATGGTGGAGGGAAGGTGGTGGAGTAGATTGCAGGTGATGGATGTGTGAAATTCAACTTAAAAATGGTAGAAATTGGCCGGAATTTTGGCCGGATCATACCTAGGTTCATGGAGTGCACGGGGAAGAGGGATCCTCTCTCTTGATTGGTTGCCCTCCTATTCATCTAATTGGTCCCTTGCCCTTTTGTCTGATTGATCCACTCCTTCCTCCCTAATTTCTAATTGGTTACAATTCCCACATGGTGGGAGTTTATTTTCCTTTAAATCTATAATTTAGTGAAACAACTTCAAATGTCTGTAACTTACCGTTATAATCCGGACTTGCGAACTGCTTTCTCCTATGCGTTCATACTGACAAGTATCACACAAATACGCCAAAAGAATAAGTCATACGTTCCTCTAGACGATGGTCAACAAAAGTCAAAATCCTTGCCTCTAGGGCATTTTTGTCAATTCCCTCGATTAAAATAAATAAAAACTAAATTTTAAGGATGGGTTGTCACAATTAACGTCTTGAACTATCAGTGTAGTTGAAATGATCTCCCAAACTGTTTTTTTGGTAAATTAACCCTCTGAACTATTTGAAATAAGCCAATTAACCCCTTGTCGTTGGATTATGTCCACTATTCTGTCAAATTCAATGGCAAATTAGTCTTTTTATCATCAATTCTTACATGTCACTTATAACCAAAAATAAATTATGACATGCGGACACATAATAATGTGTGATGACAATGTGAAATGGCATGTTATGCAAACATTTGGTTTCTTTATATTTCTTATTATGTTTTAAGTTCTTGAATTATTTTGAGTTCACGTGTAATTATTCTATTGATGGTTATAACTGACACGTAAGAATTGATGATAAAAAAAATTAATTTTCCATTGAATATGACATAATAGTGAACGAAATCTAACGACACAATGGGTTAATTGGCTTATTTTAAACAGTTCAGGGGATGAATTTACCAAAAAAATAATTTATAAGGTCAATTTCAATTAGGGTAATAGTTTAGGTGATCAAATCGCAGTTTACTCTTCCCAACCATTCATCTACTAAAATAAAACTAAAGTGTAACCAAGCATCTAAATTTACTCTTTTTCCAAACCCCAAAAAAAAAAGAAAACAGAAAAGAAAGCAAGTGTAAGCACAAATCTTGTGATAGTATACAAAAAATTTCACCAATTCTTTTGTTTTACATACAAATCAAAGCAAAGAAAACAAACTCATTTGAAGAAATGCTCAACAAAAAAATCCCAGATTTTAAAAATTGTAAAAATAATAAAATGTTCAAAATCCAAGAGGCAGAATTAATCAAAGAAAATAAAAAGGTGGATTATTTATTATATAGGATTTCTGGGGATCGACGTACCGGAGGTACGATGTTGAGCCTGCGGTTGGTTTGCCGCCATGAATCTCAAGTAAAGGTCTTCAAATGCGTTTATTGTATTTTCTACGTAAATAAAAAAATCATACATTATCAACAAATAATAAGAGGGCTAAACCAATGCAGATAATAATCCACAAATATAAGATAAAAACGATATTGCAAGGACCTGAAAGATCAACATGAGGCAGAATGAACCAGAGGCGGGAAAACTATCTAAATAGTCAGTCAACTGAGATCAAATTAGACTTCAAGAAAAAAACAAGTCATCGGAACTAACAGAAAACTTGACACAAAATCAAGACGTTTTATGATTCATAAGAACTGTAAATTCTCAACATCTCTAACAACATCAAAGGAACAAACAAATTAAAAAATATTCATTAGTAACAATAAAACCAAATGTATGTACCAAAATCCAAACGTAAAAACTCGGGAATTATTTGCTTCGCCGAGTTTCTTAACCGAAAAAAAAATTACAAGTATAAAACGAATGTTACAGGTAGAAAAAGACAAATGAGATTACTATTTATAGGACATCAATTAACAGCAATTTTCTTTTTCTCTATCCACCTCTTCTTTGCACTCTGAATTTCTTCTTCCCTCAACCTCAAGAGTCCGACAAGGCATCGACGATAGTGCATGTCAATAGCATCAAGCTCCCCCTTTAGCTCACTGTACCCATCTTTGTTGGCTAGAGACAGCTCAGATAAGGAACAAATGCTTGACATGTCGGTGCACGCCTCGTTCATCACAAATGAATCACCAGAATCAGCTTCATAACTCTTCTCCTTGACCGCACCCTTAACCATACAATCTGGACTGGAACCGTAACCATCTGAAGCTTTACAGCACTCATCTGAACTGTATTTAGCCAACTCCATAACATTGACATTACTGGCCCCTGAGGCAGTAGGAACACCATACTCAGCTGAGGTAACCGAAGTATCTGAAATCATTGATGATTGGTTATCTTGGTCCTCCGCATGTGCAACATGTGAGAGAACATTTTGCAGTGCAGCATGATCAACACATGAACTATTTGTTCCACATGATGAACCTTCTGATGAAGGTTTCCAGCCAGGTACAAGCTTCATGATCAAGTTATCAATTAACTCAGCTATGACAGAGACATCTTCATGTGGAAGATCAAGTTGCTCAACCATCTCCCCAGCGATTGAAATTGCAGTATCGGAATCAAGATAGAACTCAAAATGGATATTCCTCACACGACCTGTTTAAGAAAATAATATTCAGGTGCAGTTCAGGAAAATAAGGAGGAAAAAGAAAACCTTTTTGCAGGAAAATGTATTTACCACATGTATCAGCAATGCGCAAAGTTAAAGAGACGGTGCTATCAGAATTTTTCTCCGCTCTTAACCTGAACTCATTATTCTCGGTGGAACTCTGTAACTCCAGAACTGAAGGGTTCGATATTTCATTGGTACTTCTCCTACAAAATCCAAAGGAGGACTTCTGGTAGTTAGTATCTACGTCCATAGGACATGCTTCAGGCTGTGGCAAGTTCACCAACTTTTCTAATTGTGAAGGAACACAATTGGGCTCCTTCAAATTGTCAGTTGCAAGGAATGGATCTTTCAAGAGTTCAACTGCACTCAATCTCATAGATGCTGGAACTAGACACTTCTCTATGAACTCCTTGATTTGAGGATTGTCCACTTTACTGAGTGAAGCAGGCTTTACACCCTACAACAAAGGAAGTCAGGATAAATATTAGGCAACCATTTAGTAGATAAACAAAAACTGGACGGAAATTCATAAAGCTGTCGATCAGAAACTTACAGAGGTAACCTTCTTATAAATTTGTGCAGGATTTTTACATTCACTATAAGGGTATTCACAAGTCACCATTTCTAACATGCACAAGCCAAAAGAATAGATGTCGACTAATTCATTGTATTCCTCGTCATAAAGCTCTGGAGCCATGAATTCAGGGGTGCCAATAACACTATGAGCAGTAGGCTGCTGCATGACAATAGCCAATCCGAGATCTCCGATTTTAATTTCTCCGGTATTTCCATTGACAAATATGTTGTCGCATTTCAAATCTCTATGAATAATTGGAGGATTGTGAGAATGCAGATAATGCAAGCCTCGAAGAATCTGCCTTGCCCAGTTCTTAATGGCCTTCATATCAACATTCTTATGCTTGTTTCGGTACCTAGATCCCACAACAGAAACGGTTAGTATTTGATAAATGTAAGCCAACTAAAAACATGAAACATGAAAAAACAGTCGGTGAAACTCACTGCCTCAAACTCCCAGAGGTGAACAACTCTGTTATTATGTTGATGGTCTTGTTCTTATCATCCACCCAAGAATTATGGAACTTGACAATGTTTTGATGCTTTAATGACTTCAGCAGATGAACCTCAGAATACAATCTCTCCAACTGTTCCGGAGACTGCAACACCTCCTCGATATTCACTTGGCACCAGGCTACTTCTATTCCTTCCTCCTCATCGAATGCCTTGTATCTACATTTTATACAACATCCAAATAAGTAAAAAAATAAATTTACAAGGACAAATTGTTAGAACCCTCGAAACCCACTACAAAGAAACGAATTCAAGGTAGGTTAGAGAAGCATACGCAGTCTTGAATGCTCCCCTCCCCAAAAATTCGTCATACTGGATGAACAAACACAAATCTACGTAAGAATTCTATCACCATATCCAACAACAAGAACGAAAACATGACGAAAACACATTTGATAAACACCGATAAAATTAACATTAAAACACAATTCATATACCAAAATTAAAGAGCAAACAGGATTCGAAATCGTACCCGCAAGTATTGCCCAGTCGGATCTTTCTCCACAACGCCACCATCGTCGCAAGCAGAATTTCCACCAACAAAACCACTACAGGAATCCATAACCCTAAAAACACAACAAAAATCTCCCCAAAGAAGCAAACTTTTTTTTTTTTTTTTGCAAGACGGAAAACGATTCTTCGCAAACCCTATCAAATCTTCTTGCTTACAACACCCCCAACCGGAATCAGATTACCACAGTGTTCAGAAAAAGCCTCGCAAGCGACGGAGTACGGGTCGAACGCCGATCGAAGACGAAAACGGCAGCCGATAAACCACATGTCCCCGAATTCCGTACCTGAATTCCGGTTCGCGACGGACCTCCACATTGTCAAACCTATCCGAGACTCAGCCATGGCGCTATCTGCATCTTTCGGATCGCCAAAGTCAGGGATTTCACTTTCGCCTAAAAAATTTCGAGCTGGGGAGGCGAAATTGGGGGACTCTGAGAACCCTAAGAAAACCCTTGAGTGCAGAAATCGAGCTGCGGAGAGAGCGAGAGCGATTGGAGATGGAACCCTAGGGATTGCGATTGGGAGGAGAGGGGTAAATGTAGGGTTGGGGGGACATTGTTTTGGGGTTGGATTGGGATTTCTAGGGATTTTGATTTTTGGATTGGAAGATGAGTTCTGGCGGAGTCCTTTTTTCTCTCTGATTTGATGGTACACGCTGTCCTTTTGGACTTCTACTTGGAAACTAATTTAATTATTTTTTTTTATTTTTTATTTTAATTAAGGAATTGGGAGGTTGATTAGGGGAAGACAACTCAGCTTGGATCGTATTAGTAAAAGTTAATCTACTGATCAGAGAAAATATTAGTAAATTAATCATTGATTTAATTAATCACGTTGTCCTGTAAGGCTGGAAGAGTGGAAATTGGAGCTCCACTTGTAAAATAATTTAATTTAGATTCCATTTTCTAGATTTTCTTTTGTTTTGTTTTTTGACTTATTCTACATTTTCGGCCAAATATATTTATTTTTCTTCATATTTTTCTTATATTTGTTCTATTTTTTTACTTATTCTAAAAAGTATGTACTCTGTATTCTTCTAAAATTGACAAAAAAAACAAAAACTAGGATTCTTTCATATCTATGTTTATTACGTAACTCGTGTTAGCAGTATACATAAAGTATTATTTTATGTATTATAAGATAGACGATATAGTTGAACGTATATATTTACAAAAGCAAAGAAATTCACGTATTATAGTTGAGTGAAGTAGTAACATCACATTATCGTATTTCAGATACATCAATAACTTATTCATAGTTAAAATAATTGTTTTTAAAACTAAGCGTATAAGTTGAAATTTAGAACAAATTCAAGAAAAAGGATAAGAAAAGGGAAATGGCGGGGAAAGGCGTGACATGAAGAGGTGTCAATAACTTTGGTGTTTTGATTTTAGAAGCATCGGCCATACTAACAAGTTAGAATCAACCATAAGAGGTTAGGATTTTCAACAAAGAAACAAGTTAGACATGGCTTGGCTTGGCTTGCATGGCATTTCCAACTGTATTCTCCAAAGCCACAAACCTTTTCCAACTATATGGCAACTTTTCGTTATCTGGAAGCGTAATTTTAGTTTTTTTTTTTTTTTTACCACGTATCAATCTATGGAATATTTACATCGGACCGTCTAGATGATGCTGCAAAAGCACAATGTACGCATTTCATTTGTGTAATTAAGTAGGGTGTTAATTTTCATGGAGTTTGGTACACACAAAAACCACATCCTTAACCACGTAAGATAGGTAAAGTTAAGCTGATCATGAGTTCAGTTATCACGTCAATCGAAGGTCTCTGGTTCAAATCACATCAATTAAAATCTCCGTTTCAAGTCCGGGCAACATTGACGATGGCTCCCGGTGTGTTAGTTGTGCTCGATGAACGGTTACAGCAACAAAGTTCTGGTGATTATGAATTTAAATTACGAACAATGAACCGTTGGCACAACACGAAACAAAGTCCTGCTGACATATTATGTTTAGACTTGGTTCTTGCAAATTGGACCGAGCAAGCTAGAGGCAATTTGCCAGGCGCTCATCTTGGAAATTCAAAACTCAACAACTCTATCAGGAATGAGAAGGACGGGAGAAGGCAACACCACAAAGTAATCATCAATCACATCACATGGAGAAATGAAAGGAAGAGCTCATTTAGATTTTCAAGTCTATATAGTCAGTATCATTATTTCAATTCCAGCTTCAATTTTGGGGGCCGCTCGTTTGAAATAATTTGCAACGAAATCAAACTACACATCCACATATTGTCAGTATCATCTATCGTAACTCGTCATATCGTTCTAATGAAATCGACATAGTTGCTGCGTATAGAGATGCAAAAATAAATTAAACCCTAGTTGCAGTTTTGCAGGAATCATCTCTACTAAATTTTGATAACAAACCATCATATTCTCAAGAATTCAGCTCCAGAAAAAGGCTGGCCTGTGGATGCAACCCTGCTTCTTTCAAGGATAAAGACAACTTCTCTGGTCCATATACAACTCGAGGGAAGTTTGACACCAAACTGTAGCTCTCGGCATCGACACAACCCAAAGAATCAACAAAATCATAGACACTTTGGATTAATGCAGTGCTGTGGAATCTCCTTTCCTTGCGTTGTCCAGTTGGGAACCGAACCACAACCTGGTTTATCAAATAAAAACATAACCATGCATACGTTAGGTTAAAGAACTACTATCTCGGACAAAACAAGGAATAATGGGAACTGCAACCCAGCATCAAAGGTGCATACGACTAGAATTTCCATGAATGATGTCTAAACATACTGAACTCTACATGTCGACATAATAGAAGTTATCTGAAACATCTATACATTCAAAATGTACAAGAAAATAAAAGAGAAAATTTACGTAATAATGCAAAAGGGATTACCTGTGTAACATCAGGTCCTTTTTCAGGTTCGGCACCAAGTGACAAGACTTTCTCCTGCCGCATCCTAGCTAGTGCAGCCTCTTTCTCTGCAGCTTCCTGTGCTGCTCTTTCACGAGCCTCTTCTTCTTCCTGGCGCTTCCGTTCAGCTTCAGCAGCTTCTCTTTCTAGACGTTCTTGCTCTTCCCTCCTCTGGTTTTCCCTCGCCTGAAGCACACGAACATAACAATAAGGGAATAGAACAACCTAAGAGCTTCCTAAAACCTAAAGCCTTTGCCTGCCACGTGAAAGGGTAAAGGGAGCATGAAATTCGGTTATACTATCAACATACCTGATCAGCTTCAAGTGCTGCTCTATAAGCAGCATCTTGCTCCTCCCTTAAACGAACATTGATTCTCCTTTGTTCTGCCTCATGCCTTGCTGTGCCAAGAACAGAAGCACTTTCTTCAACCACTCTGTTTAGTATTGAGAGCATTTCTTCAGGAGACTTTGGCCCCTCAACCTGCCAAACATGACAAGATAGTCGTTACGGTAAAATGAACAACACATCATCCATACTTAGTTACCATACAGTTGAAACGGAAAATAGGGAAATATGGAAAAGAAAGAGAAAATCAATATCAAACTATTATCTAATAATCTAGAAATAACAACTTCAAGTTCAAGATGCATCACTTAAAGAGGAAAACATGTTAAACGTAGGGCATAAAATAAAATGCTCATACCAAGCTATAGAACAGCTTAAATTAAACTCAATAGCTCAATAACAAATTTACCATCCACCTAATCTGAATCAGAAACAATAATATTTTGTTACCATCCAAGATAAATTGCGACACAATTTCTATATATGATTCACCTTCCTCAGGAATATGATCAGTCAAAATAAAAGCTAAAGCTCCAACATCATTGAATTAGAACTTAGCAACAATTTTCAAGACAAGCGCGAGTCAAACACACAAAATCTCATGCACAGACCATATTGATCAATCAACAGCTTCAACTCAATAGCATTTTCAGAAAGAAAATGGCACAAATTTTCTAATAGTTATCCATTCAACTTTCCTGTTGAGATTCTTATCCCTCCAATAGAATATTTCCTACATTCAAATCTAAAAAAGGAGTGCCATCTTTCTCACCAAAATAAACATGCTTTCAGTGTTAACGGGGTAAAAGCAACAAAGGAAAATCCACAAAGTTTTAAGTTCAGTCGCTGCGGTAGGAACTCTAAGGATGGAAAACAGAACAGACGGATAATCAGCAAGCTAAACCACACCAGTACGTAAATGTCTACCTTGTTTCTTCCGGTGACCATTAACACCAATCACACCGCTCCGTGAGCTTCCTAGTTAAACCCCATGAATCACTACTACTGGCTGGTCAACTCATTTACAAGAAAAGAAACAGAAAGGAGTTGCTTACAATGAGTCAAATGTGTCATTCAATAAACCGTGCGCGGCTGGTAGGTGATAACCACTTAGATTTGAACTTTATGCCAAGAAACCTCTAGTTTCAGTATGACTCCCTAGGAAGATACAACGTCATACATGACATAACTTCCATTCCTCCATCTTCATCCCCCAATATTAAACAAAGACTGTAACTGATAATTCTGACTTCCGCCCTACGACCTTCCAATCCATTACTAACAACAAATGATATAAATATTTAAACTTACAATACTTCTCAATCAGTTCAATCTACAGGGCTATCAATTCCGTATACTCTTATGGACCGATTATTCTTATATGGAAATAAGGCAAGCAAAGAATCATATACCTGCTGAAGCAGTAAGATCCTCTGGTTCGTGGCAGCCATTACGACGGCACAGAAGGGATATCTCGAGGCCTTCAGACTATTACTCATCTTGAAGCCTTCACTTGCCCGAATGCTCCCTCCCCACGACACGAAATTCTCATTAACATAAGCCACCAACATCTCAGAGCACAGAGTCCTCTCACAAAACGACGGCGTATCAGGATGATCGGGCGAGTGCAAGTAGACGAACAACAGCTTGAAAGAGTTTCTCGACCTCTGCAGGGCGTCCATAAACCCCTCGCTGACAAAATTCGGCCTCCTCGTCCCAAAATCTTGCTCAAACCTCGCTACAAACTGCACTGCTTCATTCCCCACCGCCGGCACCGACAGTAATTGGGCAGAGGCCTCGCCGTCCCGACCAACCCCGAGTCCAATCATTCCGAGCGAGTACGAAAGCACTCCACCGGCGGCCCACAACCCGAGCCCAACCGCCCGAGAAATCAACCCTAGACTACCAGAAATAACCGAAATAGGCAGAGTGATGACCCTCCAAGCAAAACCGGGTGCTGCGACCGCGTTTGACGACTGTCCAGACTGGTGCGACGATTGGGGAATGGAGCGAAGGCCGTTCCCACCGCCGAAATCGGAGACTATGGAGGTGGTTCCGGAATAGGATGGATCTTCCGGCGAAGGCGTATGGTTCGCAGTGGTGGTGAAGGAGGAGATCGCGAGCTCGAGGTCCCAGCCATGGGCGGTGAGAATCTCCTCGCACAAATCGGTGTCTTCGAGGCCTGTGATCGCTTGGAAATACGCTAACTTGTCGTTGGCATCGGCCATCTCTGTAAACAGATTAGGGTTTCTCTAGTTCGAGAAGAAAGAGGAGAGAGCCGAGACCGACACGACAGCGCTTTGGGGATGTCGGTTCTCTTCTCTGAGAAATTACCGAGGAGGTTTATGACAGCATCCGCGGGAGCGAAAGCAAAAGGTCTACAGTTATAAGGTTTTGTGGAACACCAGAAATACCCCTGACTATTTGGGAAATAACTGAATTGCCATTGTCGTGATTGGCTAAATTATCGTTGTACATGCTGGCGGGGATTTGCTTGCAAGCAGATGAGAAGGCAAACACAACAAAGCGGGCGTTCCTAGTGTTAATAGGCTTGTTGCATCATCTACAAGACCGAGTCCAGGACCAGGGCCAGCACATTGGAGACGGAAAGCACCAGCGTGGATGATCCTAAGACTTTGTTTGGCAGTTCAAATTGTACTAACTATTTCTGTCGGATAGAATAAATAACTACCGGATAGTACTGATTAAATTAATTAAGCATTTGATGCAATATCGGATCAATGATCATATCATTTATAATGTGTTTGATACTGAACCGGATAAGAGAAATTCAAAGTAACTTTGATATTTCACTTCATATTTGTCCCCTGTTTAAATCAGATTACTAAAAAAAAATTAAAAAATAAAAAAAAATCTATCTCTTTCCCAGAATCCCAGATCCCTGTGTCGCACCACCCCCACAAACACCCTCATTTTCTTACCTGCTGTTGTTGGCCCAAAGGGGCTTGAAAACACCATCAAGCAGATGGAATATTAAAACCCAGAAATTAAAGAAATTAAAAACCCAGATGAAATCTTAAATCCAGAAGAACTCTTTCTGAATCATAAAACCCATATGAAACCTTTTCGAATTTTCAAATCCTATTATCGATTCCCAATCAAGGTTCTAAAACCCAAATGAAATCGTTCCGAATTTGTGTGGTGGTGGTGCGAGTTGTCTCTCTGTGGGTGTTATCAGATAACAAAGGTGACAGGGGGAATAGAGCCACCAAGAGGAGAGGGAGAGAACATAGCTTGCCAGATGAGACGGGGAGAACACAGCCAGCGAGAGAAGGAGATGGAGCAAGCGGCGGGGACGACAAGAGAGAGTGCCCAGTTCGCACAAGAGAGAAGAAAGAGAGCACTAATTAATACGCCCGTTTTGGACTGGTTTGCTAAGAGGGTATATGCCGTATAAAATAAGTGGATCGGATTAAATTAGTTTGGTCCAATTTAATACGAGAAAGCGTCAAACACCCGTTTTTGTATTAATAATCTTATCCAGTATTATATACGGTGTACCAAACAGAGCGTAAGGCACCACATTCCCCCGCATAAACAATTCGGTACGCTGGAGATTATGTGACTGCTTAATTAAATCAAATAAAAAACAATCACACACAAAAATCACAACAAAATGAAATAAAATAAATCTGTACAAATTAGCAGACGCACCTTGAAGCATTGCTGCGAACAGTAGTTGAGTTGCACCGAGGGAATGTATACTGCAAAAATTGCTTCTGGCAGCTGCAATTAAAGCAAAATAAAAACAAAAAATTGTATAAATTAAAATCGGAAAATTTTCCAGAAATAAATAAAATAAATTAGCGAGCTTTGGTGATGAACATCACACATTTCCTTTAACAAGAATATCATTTTTCATAGTCAGTTGACTCATTTTGGTAAGGGTTAAATATGAATTCTGATTTTAACATATTTCGAGTCAATAGTTTTCAATTTTGGAACTCTCAAATCAAATTGGACATTCAAAATTTTAAATTTTGAAATCCCAAATTTTTTTTTTTCTGACAAAATTAAAATTTATTTTAAGATTCAGAAAGCTCTAAAATTATAGTACCTACAAATTGAGTTTTCAAGCTTAAAATGCCTAAGGTAACTGGCCTTATGTTGAAATAATTATGTCAAAGTGACACTCTGCTTGTTCTTCTCTTCTAAAGCCGCTGAATTCCCGCTATAGTTTCTTCATGTTTTCAGTATGAACTTTTAATTTTGACCCTTCAAATTGTTGCGAATATTCAATGTTTAATGTTATTATTTAAAGAATTTTGAAATAAAACCGAAAGTTTTCCAAAATTATGATTTTTCCAAATTGGAATGGATGTTGAAATTAAAATTCTTTGGAATGGAATTGAAAAACAATTCTCATTCTGAAGATATTTTGGATTAAAATTGGAACCCTTGAATCCAATTCAATTCATCTGAAAATCAAACCTAAGTTATCTTAAGTGTCACATCCTAACCCGGGGGGGGCCCACTTCCCGAGCCCGCTCCACCACCGTAACACGATATTATCCGCTTTGGGCCCCGACCACGCCCTCACGGTTTTGTTTCTGGGAACTCACACGAGAACTTCCCAATGGGTCACCCATCATGAGAGTTCTCTCGCGCGCTACTCGCTTAACTTCGAAATTCCCATGGAACTCGAAGCCAGTGAGCTCCCAAAAGGTCTCGTGCTAGGTAGAGATGGGAATATACATATAAGGATCACTCCCCTGGGCGATATGGGATGTCACAATCCACCCCCCTTAGGGACGGAACCCGAAGCCAGTTAGCTCCCAAAAGGCCTCGTGCTAGGTAGAGATGGGAATATACATATAAAGATCACTCCCCTGAGCGATGTGGGATGTCACAATCCACCCCCCTTAGGGGCCCGACGTCCTCGTCGGCACACCACGGCCAGGGTTAGGCTCTGATACCAAATTGTCACATCCCGGCCCGGGGCGAAACCATTTCCCAGGCCCGACACCACCGTAGCACAATATTGTTCGCTTTGGGCCCCCAGCACACCCTCACGGTTTTGTTTCTGCGAACTCACACGAGAACTTCCCAATGGGTCACCCATCCTGGGAGTGCTCTCGCACGCTACTCACTTAACTTCGGAGTTCCATGGAACTCGAAGTCAGTGAGCTCCCAAAAGGCCTCGTGATAGGTAGGGATGAGAATATACATATAAAGATCACTCCCCTGGTCGATGTGGAATGTCACAATAAATTGTCACATCCTAGCCTGGGAAGGACCACTTCCCGGGCCCGTTCCACCACCGTACCACGATATTGTCCGCTTTGGGCCCCGACCACGCCCTCACGGTTTTGTTTCTAGGAACTTACACGAGAACTTCCCAGTGGGTCACCCATCATGGGAGTGCTCTCGCATGCTACTCGCTTAACTTCTGAGTTCCCATAAAACCCGAAGCCAGTGAGCTTCCAAAAGGCCTCGTACTAGGTAGAGATGGGAATATACATATAAGGATCACTCCCCTGGGCGATGTGGGATGTCACATTAAGAATTAGTCCGATAAAAACATATAGAGAATTTTTATTTGAACCCACATTATGTAGATCTACACCGATTTAATAAGGAATGTACGTTTTTATTTTATTTTATTTTATTTTAAATCAAATTAATTGTCATATTATATTAAGTGTCAACCATTGATGTTGGGCCAATCTAATGGTTTAAAACTTGTGTAGAAAAAAAATATAGTACCATGAATCCACCTTCTGTGTGTGTGTGTGAGAGAGGGAGAGTGTGAGAAACATTATTATTAGGTGATTCACCTGCCAATTTAGTTCATAAATTATCACCTTAGTAAAAATTAGGTCTAAAAACTTTTTTTTCTTCAGAAAAATCAAACTTTAAATTATAAAAATTTGCCAACTACATCCCTAATATTGACACACCCCAACCGAGATCAGGGCATGCTGGCCGTCACGTGGAAGTGACGTAGCCATGTGCACAGTGTGGAAGCTAAAGACAGTAATATAAAAGTACGAATAATTTAAAACTAGCAAATATAATGTGATGAAGTATGTGCTAGCGAAAGTAAGACGCTGAATTCAGAGCTTAAAGCCTACAGCAGTCCAAAAGAAACGATACAACAATAGTGCACCCGAAGGTGACCCTACATAGGTGAGTGTCTGTTAGAATACCGGGACGTCCTCCGGGAAAACCACCAAACCCGCTAAGCTACTAGAACCTGGAAGGGCGCAAAACAAAAGCGTGAGTGGGCAAAAACAAATTCTTTGAAAACCAATTCATAAAATACATTCTAACCCCTCGCCGTAAAACCTGTATACTTCCCAGAAAATAAACACATATACGTAGATATGCCAAGTCATGCTCAAGGGTATGCCAATCATGCTCACAGGTATGCCATCACAAACCTTATAATATCATGCATGTGCTCAGGTATAAATCACATCAATAGCATAATAATCTGGCAGCCGGAATCCCCTAAGTGACCTGTACGGCTGAATCTAGAGCTCAAATCTCAAACTCAATCACTAAACCTGCCCACGAGTCGGAACCACCTATAGTGGTCTGTACGGCAGGCCTGGGTGTAATACATATGAACGCTCTAGTGCTACGATCATGTGAAGGCTGTGCGAATAATCGCGGGTCACCTACGAGTCGGAACCACCTATAGTGGTCTGTACCACAAGACTGTGCACCTAACTTGGATTCAAGCTGAGCGTGTGGTGCGGGAGGTGAACAACACGTGAAGGACTGTGCCCTACTCTGGGCGGGAGCACTAACACCGGGGGAGCAGGTTATGAGCTCTCTAAGCATCTCTAACCGCTATTTAATGCAATCTTTAAATAACGCTTACCTGGCACTTACCTATGCCTCCACAGCACCAACAAATATATATATGACATATGCATAATCGAATATATAATTAAACGTATATGCCACTAATCATGCATAACCATCAATCATATAAAAGAATGGCATAAAACGAAGCATTTATACTAATTTCTGGGAAATAATATGTATATAGGTATATACGGAAAACAAAAACCCACTCACTGGTATGTGGAAGGGTCGTAGCCCCCCTGCCTCGAGTGTGCACGCTCGTCCTCGAGATACGTGTCACCTATATGCGAATTAACTATAAAAACGTTAACTTTAAAGCACATAACCGTCCGTTCAAAATAACTTCTCATACATTGCTCAAAATGGACAAATGAATATACCAACGTGATCTACACAACCTCACGATCACACCCATATTTTAAAAATAATTTTTGGACCTCCCACGCGCTCTCACGCGCCAAAACAGGCACGGACCCACGCGCCCCCACGCGCGGCCACGTGCCAGGCACACTGACGGCGTCAAGTGACGCCGTCAGGAATATTCCATTAACCCAACGGAATATTCCATTAAACCTAACTGACGTCGTCACTGCCGTTAGGAATATTCCGTTAAACCTTAACGGAATATTCTCCCTTCTTCTCCGATCAACCCTCGCCGGACTCCGGCCACCGGAAAAACTAGGAAAGTTTAAACCCACTATTCTCCATCGTTTTTCATCCATTTTTCACGTATTTTAGACCAAAATGAAGCCCTAAACCTCATCTACCACGTTGAACTAGTTTTAGAGCCTAAAAACAACGGAATCAAACTTTCTAAAAATATGAAAATCCGGCTAAACTTACAGTTCGTGATTTCGACGTCCAAATCAGTCCAACGATACACTCCCAAGCTCTTTGGGACCTCACAAGGACATCTACAAGCTTAACATTTACAGAAACACGCAAGAATGAGTTTGCATGAATAGTGCACAAATCGGAAAACCTCGAATCGACGTGAAAATGGTGGTTTCCCCTACCTGAAAATGGTACGTCAATGCTCCCCTCGACCTCACGATCACAACTACAGCCTTGGTTTCCTCGATCTGTGTGAAATATGGCAGGTGTGTGTGTGTCCGTACCAGTTTAAGGAAGAGGAAGAAGAAGAATAAGGACTCGGGGGAGAGAGAGAGACAGGGAAAGTGACAGAGGAAGAGGGAGAATGAGACAGTGTGTGTGCAGGTGTGGGTGTGGTCCAACACATGCCACACACACACACAAAATAACCAAATAACATAACAAGACAAACTAGGGGTAAAACGGTCAAATCACATGTACGTTTCGATAATTCCAGGACGGGATGTCACAAATATTATATTCAAAGCTACTATATTCAATTTTCCGTCAATTTAAGTCACGTTACTTGCAAGTGATACACATTGGAGGGTAGACGGGTAATTTTTCATAAAGAAATTGTGTATGGAGTTAATTTTGGAGGGTAAATTAGACGTTAAATTTTCAACTTATATGAAATGTCAAGGG